GTTAACCAAGTGGTAACTATGTACGTAGTAACTTGTGCTACTGCGCAGTAGCGCCAGCACATGGGGGTTTTTCTTGTGGCGCTTACTGCACAGTAGCCTAATAACACGACGCAGTAGCATATTAGCATGGTTTTTGACCAACACACTACTGTGCGGTGTTAGTAGGCTACATAGCAGTAAGCGTCTCATGTAGATGTGCCGAGTGTGTGTCATTAAGGTTTGGGATGTGGTTAGGATTGGTCCGTGCAGCCAGAGCAGCGCCGGGCGCCTTGGGTGGGCCAGAACTTTCTGGAGGGTTCCGGTGACTGTTGAGAATGCAGTTTGGGGGCAAGCTGCAAGGGGCTTGGCAGTTAATGTGGGTTAGGAAGGGCCAAGAAGACCCCCAGGGTCAGGACTGGCAGAAATCAGGCTGATTTCTGGAGATGCTGGCAAGCCTCTCAGAAAGGCTAAAGTGTTGCTAGCTGAGGGTCTTGTTTCCTGTCTCCAAATTATAGTCAGTTCTGTTTGTGTTATCCTGTTTGCTTTTTGTTATTTGTCTCCTTACTAATTGCCTGTGGAAAGAGGATTTCTAGGTGAGTGATACTCCAGGCCAGCTCCCTCTGCAGAAAGGGGGACCTGAAAAATTCTTATGTAACCCAACAGTGCACAGGCAACCCTGGGGGCCCCTGCAGTCAGGTTTGTGACAGAAGGGATTGCATTTTATTTTAAAATAGGTATTGTTAGGGTTGCTGCCTGAACACTTTATGCTGAATTTTGTTGCAAGTCTAACAGCCAAGGTTGGTAGGAGTAAAGATAATATTAGCAATCTAACTTACCGCACTTGTATTTGGCTTGATTTCCTTGCACATTTGGCAACACTTTCTTTGTTGCATGTTGCATTGTTTCTCCTGTGTGGCCCATTTCCATTGCTGTTCATATGATTCTTTCCTACAGCAAGAGGAGAAAATTTTATAAAAAACTCAGAATCAGCATGATTGTGAAACTGCACAAACTGTCAAGGGGATGGGGCTGGTGTAGGACCTGAAACAGCTTTTAATTTAGTGTTGAAGGAGGTGAAATTTCAAGTAGACTGAGAAATTTAAAGACCTGTAGAGTACCTATCACTGTATTTGAATTCATGTATTAAAGCAAGAAAGAATTCCATGTATTTTGTGTCTAGTTTCTATGTGGATTGCAACATTATGAATGCATAGATAGATTTGAGAGGGAGCAGTATTAATTTTCTATCTATCTGATTTCACCCTTTTAACCTTTTCTTGTTGTTGGAATTGATTAGTTTTTAAAAAGTAATTTTCTGTTTGCCTATTACAACTACCGAGCCCTTTTGAACCACATTAAAAAAAGATTGGTTTTTTTTAGTCCGCTTCTTTGAAACTTTGGATCAAAAATTCAAGTGGAGGCAATAGATCAAAAGCTCATACCAGACAGCGAGAAAAATGTGTGGGAGTTTGACTTCTTGGATATGTAAAACCTGGATTTACTGTGAAATTGTAATTATAGTTTTGCCATCATGACACACACACTGTAGCTAATGTTGTGTCAGCAGTTCCATTATAATATGCTCTCATTTTGTATAGTCCCATTTAACCACCTCTGCATAATATGATATACCAGGTGTATCCAGGAAGCATACTTTTCAGGTGTGAAAGAATATGCACTTTCTTTGGCTGGAAAGTTCAGCAGTGGTGAAGGGATTCAACATGCTCATTAGGGGTAAAACCATGATGATTTTGTGCAGGACTTGAAAAAGCCTGTAACCATTTGCTAGTAATGAATGGGAAAGCTTTCTGGGTTAGTGTTGGGAAGGTAAGGTAGGGGAGGCAGAAGAGATATGGGAAAGGGAGGGTTAGACCATCAATTTCTGCAGAATTAATGGTTTTGGGGTGAAATTTGCAAAGGTATAATGGAAGTTGGGCCTCTGAATCACTCTAACTTTTGATAACAGTTGGGTGTTTAATTCTTTTTTGTGACTTTGAAAATCTCCCTCTTCTTAGTACTTGTGATTCCAAACAAAATCTCCTAAATATGAAATTAGTGTAAACCAATCAGCCTGCCCACAACCTGCTTTCCTGTCCCTGTCAAAGTATGAGGAATTGAAATTAACAGGACTCTGGGCAATTTCCTTGCTATTAGTCAAAATCCTCCAAGCAGAAATGTGTCCATTTAACACTGCAGGTGCTTAGGAAAGCCAAGAGCAGCAGCAACAGACAATGCTTGAGGGAGAGAATCGACAGTGTGGAGAATGGGGGAGAGTTAGAGCAGATTGCTGCCCCTTGCATCCCTCCCCATTGCAGGAATCAGGTGGCTGAGAAGGAAGCAGGGTGTCTAAGAATATCTTTCCATAAAGCAGCTTGGAGGTTTCAGAAATGGGACAAGACAGCTTCTTCACCAGCGAGTAGCTAAGGGGAACCATCAGCTTCATCATATATCTATTAGCTGGCAAATAGTATGAGATATGGAAACCCCAAGTAGAGCCTAATGATAGCATCTCAAACACTTGTCAGCTGCTGGGATGGCAAGGGTCTGGATGCCTAGACTTCCAAAGCCTCCATTAGTTATATCAGATTCTGCCTTGCTGTTTTATTCCTTTTGTCTAGTAATTTTTTCAAGGCCTAATTTTGTTCTCTATTTTGGATAGCACACATTAATTTTACATTAGTCAGTCATATACGTTAGTGCCTCCTTCTGTGCATCTGTGAGGGCCTGACAGATGGATGTTTTTCAGGCAGGACACTGAGTAGGGTTTTGTTTTAATTGGGGAATAAATTTAGTGATCATGAAGGACTTTCCGGAGGTGTAAATGACTACCCAAGGTGCAAGGCAGTGGAGAATTAGGCCCTCTGTGGGTAGGCGTGGTACACACTTCCTCCACACAGCTGTCAGTGGAACACAGCATGGACTGCTGCCGATCCGGACTATTTCAGGTCTAGGCAGAGACTGCCAATTGTGCTAAATTGGGGGAGCCTTGTTATGTTCACTGATAAAGACTAGGATGAGTCCCATGCTGGTTTTCGCTTTTTGAACTGAACATGGTTTGAATCTGGGTCTACAGAGGTGAAAGGTGAGGATGGGAACTTGCCATGCCACCTAGGTCCATCTCTGGCCCTCTCCCCCTGACCTCCTGGCTACTGAGCTGACATATTGAGAAAACCACAGCAGAGTCATTTTGCATTACTCTTGCTCTTCTGTATTGGTGCAGCAAGCATAAAAGAGTCCAGCAGTGATTCATCAGGAGTCCTTGGATCTCAGCTGATACCAATCAATCCTGCTGTGCTGCTAAAATAGATATGGCCAGAGCATAAAATAACTAATAAAACCCAAATCCTCCATGGAAAATTCATTCTTCAGGGTATGAGCTTTCTGTTGCCAAGCAAAAGAAAGACTGGGAGGAGACAGTGGGACTTTCTGGCTTGTGGGGGGTGGTTATTGATTCTCTCTCCTTGTCTCCCCACTCTGCTCATTTACTTTGTTTCACTTAAAGGACTTGCATCATGGTAACCTTGATTTATTATCTGATATTTTTTTAAAATCAGCCATTCAAAATTGTGCATTGGCTTGAACCCTACAGTAATAACCCAGCATGCAGTTATTCCCTGCTATCTCAGGCGTGTATGTAATGCTTCCCCTGCTGTGTGTGCCTGATTCATTCTTGTAGCTAGGTGAAATTTACAAAATTCGTAAACACTGAATAGAGAGGCTAGGACATTTGTAATTTTCATTTTGCTACCTGCTTTCAAGAGCAGAGCAGAGGAACACAGCGGGGAAATACGCATGTGTTGTCACCTCTGAGCGAGAGTGAAGCACAGAGCAGGGACAGTGCTAGTTTTAGCCTGCAAGATCTTTTTAATGATCAGCTACTGCAAGTTGGAACACTCTCAATAAGCAGATTGTTGTGCAGACATTTTATCCTTCAGGATTAGACCAGACAGAATGATGGGTCTTTTATGGAATGCAGAGCAGACATCCCTGTGGATATGGGCTATTTTTCACTTAGGGCTAGAATGTGATTTTAGGTCCAGCCCTGAGCAAGGATTGATGCATCACCCCTGAAGTAGACTTTGGAGGTTTTGTAATTCAGAATTCCCCACCTTTTACAGGTGTAAGCCACAGGGTGTATACATCATTGCACTGGTATAATCCTGGTGATCCTACAGGGATGTTGTATTTAACCAATACTGCTTAGCAACAGCAGTCAGTCATCTTTAGCCCCTATGATCAATGGCTGCATCATGCCAGGAGTCTGAGGACTGCACTTAATTAGCACCTCCAGTGGGAGAGAGGATTTTATGAAATATGATGGGTGCTTGCATTTGTATTTGCCCATGCTCACATCTCCACTGATGGTTGAATAAAAATTGTTTGTGAGTTGAGATCGCCAGCAAAAAATATCCCCTGCAGTAGCAGGGAGAGGGGAGCTTCTAGCTGTGTTTTAATATTCGACAGGCTGTATTTGGACACTGCTGCATTAATTTTCTTAGAGCGGGGGTTAGAACTTACATCTGGGAAGAGCTGGGTGGGGTACCTGGATCTGAGCCTGCTTCTGCTAGATTCAAGGTAAGTATAGAGCACATTTGGGGATTTGGTAAAGCCCCTATGTGCTTGATAGGGCTGATAGCACACAGGGGTCTGTGTGCTACTTTCACTGCAGTGCCAGTTTATTGTAATTCCACTGGCAGCCTCTTGAATGCTGCCACTGATCAGGGAAGCCCCTGCTGTTTCAGGAAAGCGGCTTTTCACGCATATACTGTTGAGTTTTCTTCTACAAAACCTGCTTGGAATAATAAAAGCGCTTACTTAGCTTGGGGTTAGTGAGCCGTTCAGTCAGTTGTTGGTGGCCACCAGGTCATAAAAGTAGAGCTTGGTACTGAGGCAGGGGTTTGAGTGCACCTTGTTACCTACTCATATGTTTAGCAAGCCAAAAATGTAAGAGCCAGTGAGAAGGGTTTTATGAGCACTGGTGACATGTTGTTAAGAGCTTCACTCTTTGTCCTCTCCATAAGGCCTAGAATCCCTTCACAGCACCATTCTCCTGACCAACATGGAACAGATGGATAAAATGCAGAAAGACTTGACCAAATCGTTGGGAAGGATCCCTTATGCCCCCTATCCCAACAGCCAGGCACAGCTCCGGGACTCCAGTTCAGGAACCAGTTCAAGTCTATCAGAAAACATTTACAGGGGGACCAAAAGGAAATACCCACTGATTAAACAGAAGGGATTTTACTCTGATGTCCTCACTCCAGGAGCCTCTGACCTTTTGGGGGTAAGTGCAAAGAGCTTTTTTTCTTCTGCTTGGATCAGAAGCAGGACAACTGTGTGTTAGATTAAATAGAAGAACCTAGCTAAATAGACAATCTGCATGGCTTGATCTTGTAGAAAAGAGGCCCAAAAGCTTGCTTCCTATTTTACAGCTGTTCTGCTAGGTCAGAGCCCTTTGTGTTCCAGGATTTGACCTTTGGTTAATGGACAGAATTTGGCCTTTACAAAGCAAAATAGCAATACTGCTTCTGTGGCTATGCATGGAGGATTTACATGGGGACATTGCCTTTGCTGTAGACCCATGCTACCAGTACATTTTTTGGGCCAGATCTTCAGCTAGCCCCTTTTGGCTTCCTTGCTCTTTTTCCTCAACCCTATGCATGTTTGGTTTGGTTTCAGGTTGCATTCTCCCAGCAGAACATTTTCCTCTCTCTGCCACCCTGCCCTACATTCTGCCTAACTTCAGACTAATATGGCTAACTACCTCTCTCTCTCTGTCTCTCTTCCGCTTCTTGGTTCTGTGTGTCCTATTCCTTTTCAAGTGACAGTTCGTTTGCCTCTTATTGCCTTGGAGCTCTGTTTTGGGTTGAATTCTTCAGCACTTTGAGTTCATGGCTGCAGGCTTTTTCTTCATGTGCCACTACAACTTCTCTTGTATCCCACTCTACATCTCATTCTGTACCCCATTCTGGCTCCTCCCTGTTACCTTTGACGTTCCCTGATAATGCTTTTATATGCTGGATTTCAGGATGTGTGCGCTGGTCCCAGTGTGAACAGGGATTTATTGAGACAGGCAGATCTTGAAGAGCACACGCCAAAAGGTAAAGTACCAAAAAGAATAATGTAATGGGGATATGAGTCATTAAAGGATTAATGTTGCTACCCCTTAGCTGATTACCTTTGGGTGGTTCCTAAGTTGGGGTGTTGGTCATGCTCTCTTTATTCTATTTCAAGGCCAAAGATGATGCCACAGCACTTGAATATGTTGGGGTAAGGGAACTATTTGAAAATGATGGAATAAAGTGCACAAGCAAGACAGATGAACAGCTCCCTTAATGAGCAAAAGATTGTATCCCTTCTGACCAAGCTATATCTGGCCCCTGTCATGTCCAGAGTGCATTCAGGTCTATACTTGATTTCAAGATGGAGCTCATGTGTAGAACTATGGGGTACCCTTGTGCCCTTCTAGACCTGGTGCTCACAGACAAGGAAGAATTGGTGGAGAATGTAGTAGTGGATGGCAACTTGGGCAGTAGTAACCATGCGATGATTGAGTTCATGATCCTGAGGAAAGTAAGGAAGGAGAGCAGCAGAGTAGGGACCCTGGATTTCAGAAAAGCAGACTTTGACCTACTCTGGGAATTGATGGGCAGGATTCCCTGGGAAGTTAGTCTGAGGAGGAAAGGAGTCCAGCAGAGCTGGTTGTACTTTAAAGAAACTTGAGGGCACAGGAACAAATGTGCAGGAAGCCTAATAAGTATGGCAGAAGACCAGCTTCGCTTAGCAGAGAACTCTTCAGTGAGCTAAACACAAAAAGGAAGCTTACGAGAAGTGGGAACTTAGACAAACAACTATGGAAGAATATAAAACTATTACTCGGGCATTCAGGGATGAAATCAGGGGGGCAAAGTGCAATTGGAGTTGCAGTTAGCAAGGGATGTGTAAGTTAACAAGAAGGGTTTCTATAAGTGTGTCAGCAACAAGAGGAAGATCGGGAAAAGTAGGGGCCCCTTACTAAATGCAGGAAGCAACCTAGTGACGGATGATATGGAAAAAGCTGAAGTACTCAATGGCTTTTTCATCTTAATCTGCACAGACAAGGTCAGGTCCCAGACTACTGCACCTGACGGCACAGTCCGGGGAGGAGGTGAGCAGCCAACTGTGGTGAAAGAACAGGTTAGGGACTATTTAGAGCTGGATGTGTAAAAGTCCATGGGGTTGGACACGATGTACCCAAGGATGCTGAGGGAGTTGGCCAATGTAATTGCATAGCTGCTGGCTGTTATCTTTGAAAACTCGTGGCAATTGGGAGAGGTCCTGGATGATTGGAAAAGGGCAAATATAGTGCCCATCTTTAGGAAAGGGAAGCAGGAGGATCTGGGGAACTACAGGCTGGTCAGTCTAAACTCATTCCCTAGAAAAATCATGGAGCAGGTCCTCAAGGAATTCATTTCTAAGCAGTTGGGGAAGGAGAAGGTTATTAGGAACAGTTAGCTTGGATTCACCAAGGGCAAGCCATGCCTGACCAACTTGATTGCCTTCTGTGATGATATGACTGGCTTTGTGCGTGTGGGAAGAGCAGTGGACATGATATACCTTGACTTTTTAGCAAGGCTTTTTATATATTTTGCCACAATATTCTTGCAGGCAAGCTTAAGAAGTACAGGTTGGATGAATGGACTGTAAGGTAGATAGAAAACTGGCTAGATTCTTGGGCTCGAAGGGTAGTAAGCAATGGCTCGATGTGTAGGTGGCAGCTGGTATCAAGTGGAGTGCCCCAAGGGCTGGTCTAGAAGATGGAATGGAGTGTACCCTTAGCAAGTTTGCAGATGACACCAACCTGGGGCGAGTAGTAGATACACTGTGGGGTAGGGCTGGAATTCAGAGAGACCTTGACAAATTGGAGGATTGGACCAAAATAAAGCTCATGAAATAAGCCCAGTTCCCTCAGCTTCTCCTCATAAGTCCTGTGTCCCAACCCCCTAACCATTTTCATAGCCCTCTGCTGGACTTTCGCCAATTTGTCTATATCCTTTCTGCACTGGGGGGCCAAAACTGGACACGGTTCTCCAAATGTGGCCTCACCAGTGCTGACTAGAGGAGAATAATCACATCCCTTGATTTACTGGCGACACTCCTACTAATGCAGCCCGGTATGCCTTTAACCTTCTTGGAAATGAGGGCACACTGTTTGCTCATATTCAGCTGATTGTCCACTGTAACCCCTGTGATGGGACAGTAGGGAGCAATACTATGCAGGGCCAGCCGCCTCAGCATGCCCAACCAAAACCACGCTTCAGGTGTCTCCCCTGGGGCATCTATGTCTGGCCAACCCCCTTCCTGGAGCACACCTGCAATCCTGGGATAATTGCTGCTACTACCCAGGCCTTGGTCACTGTTGAGGCTCTGTGCAGCCCAGGGTACACATACTCTGCAGACCTTGGAGGTGCTTAGCCCACTGTGATATTTTGGGGTGTTTCTTTTAGTCTGAAGTACTTCCCTTGCTCAGAGCCCCTCAGACCCTCTAGAGCAGAGGTTGGCAACCTACAGTCCGCTGGCTGGATCTGGCCCACGGAGCCATTTGATGTGACCTGTGGATGTGGGACCTTGCCAACATTCAGCAGCAGGGGTCTTTGACAGCAGGAACTTTTCCCCTCCTGCAGTGGAGAGAAATGTCTCCAGCATCTGTGTCCTAATACCTACCCGCCTGCCTCTGACCCGAGTTGGGTCATAGATTCGTAGACGTTAGGGGCTGGAAGGGACCTCTTGAGATCATCAGGTCCAGCCCCCCTGCGCTTGGGCAGGAAAGACTGTTGGAGTCAGGTGACCCCAGCAAGGTGAGTGTCCAGGAGTTCTTTGAAGATATCCAGAGCAGGTGATTATACCACTTCTGGGAGGAGTCTACAACTAGAGTGTCCTTGGTCTGGAATAAAGGCGTTTTTCCTTATGTCTATTCTAAAGCAGTCTTCTAGCAATTTATGACCATTAGTCTTTGTCTTCTCCTGGGGAGCCCTGCCGAACATTTTCCCAGTTCCTGATATGCACCCTTTATATGTTGACTAGCCAAATGCCCGTCATGAATGTCGGATTTCAAAGGAGTGTTTACATGGCCAGCCCTGAAGGGTGGCTCTGCTCCTGCCCATTCTGTTGCCCCTCACTCCCAAGCCACAGCCCCTCTCAGCCCTGCTGTTGCCCCTCACTCCCAACCCACTGACCCCAACCCTGCCAGTGCCCTCCCTCACCAAACTGCAGTACCTTCCCCCCGGGCCCCGATGGTGCCCATCACTCTCGACCCACAGCTCCCTGATGCTGCCAGTGCCCTCTGCACTCCCAACCCACAGTCCCCTGCCCCCACCCTGTTGCCCCTCACTCCCAAGCCACAGCCCCTCTCGGTTGTATTGCTGCCCCTCACTCCCAACCCACTGACCCCAGCTATACCAGTGCCCCTCCCTCAACAAACTGCAGTGCCCTCACCCCAAGCCCTGATGGTGCCCCTCACTCTCGATCTGCAGCCCCCCAGCCCCTGTCTCTACTGGTGCCCCTCACTCCTGACCCATAGCCACCTGGTGCTGCCAGTGCCCCCCGCACTCCCAACCCACCGTCTCCCACCCCCACCCCGGTTCCCCTCACTTCCCAAGCCACAGCCCTCCCAGCCCTGCTGCTGCCCCTCACTCCCAACCCACTGACCCCAGCCTGCCAAGTGCCTCTCCCTCACCAAACTGCAGTACCCTGTCCCCCACCCCCATCCTTGCTGGTGCCCCTCACTCCTGACCCCTGCCCCCCCCAGCCCTGCTGGAGGGGCCCCAGCTGTCCCAGTCCTGACCAAGCTGGAGCACAGTGGCTCCGATTCATACAGGCAGCAGCAGAACGTGTCCAGCCCCAGTGCAGGCTGAGGGAAGAGGAGAGGAGGCTTGTGGCACTCCTTGCCTTGGGATGAGGCTGCTGCACTGCACCAGACAGCCTGGCCATGGCCCCCTCCCCCTCCTTCCTTCTTACCCCCTTGCCCCCCCCACCCCAGGTGCTCATGGCTGCTCAGTCCCCAGAGCACAGGCACCAGCCCCTGTGCAGCCAGCCAGCCACGGAGTTCCCCACTGCCATCCAAGCCCCCCACCCCTGCCTCTTTCCCCTGCTGGAGAACAGGCAACCCTCTCCTCCCCCACTGCCCTATTGCAGCTGCAGCCCCCACTCCCCCTGCCTTGACCAAATGTCTGCGTTTCTCCTTTGCTACGGGGGTGAGAGCAGGGAGCACCACGTGAGTCTTTGCACCTCTACAGCTGCAGGCAAGTACTTCCTGCTGCCTCCAGTTGCACTCCCCCTGCTCCCACCAGTGGAGCAAAGGAGAGTCCCGGACATTTGGGCAGATTAAATAAAACCTGCCCGGATGGAGAGCAGAGGGCTTAAAAAAGAGGACACGGATGTATGGTAACCCTATCTCGATCAAAAGTGTGACAGACAGACAGACAGACTGACTAAGCCCTTTATTATATTAGAATAGGCTACCACCAAGTCCCCTCTGAGGCTTTTCTTCTCCAGGCTGAACAGACCCATGTCTCTCAGCCTCTCATCGTATAGCCTGCTCTCCATATCTCTAACCATACACGTAGTCCTCCTATGGACTCTCTCAAGCTTCTCCAAATCCTTCCTGAAGCATGGTGCCCATAACTGGACACAGTACTCTAGCTGTGGCCTCACCAAGGCCGAGTAAAGTGGGATGATGATATCTTAATTCTTGTTTGAGATGCATCAGGTCGTTCTGGCCTGCAGCCTAAAAAGGTTGCCAACCACTGCTCTAGAACACAGTCTAGTCATTTAAGCTGTGGGCTGGGGAGAGAGGATTTTGACTTTATACAGAGAGAAGCTGGACATCACCTTACTGCCCTGAAGATTTCAGTTATTTTCAAGAAAAAAGGAAATTGACTCCATCCACAAGTGATAACAAGTCAGACCCATTCTTAACAAGTGGAGACAGACCTCTATTTGTGATATACTACTGATTCAGTAAAAAAAATCAGTCTGAAGTCTGACTGCAAATGGTACACTAAGTATTGACATAAATAACTGATAATGCACAAAGTGCTGCAGTGAATAGCTTTATGGATTTCAGAACAGTAGAGTTACACAATAGGAATAATAGTGCCTACCAACAATAGATATATACCAGGGTGGTTCTTTGAAGAAGTTGAACAAAGATATATGCTGGGATAAAGGAATTATCTTAAAACCTCTCTGCTTTATGGATTCTTTAATAAAAGATTATTCTTAGAAAATATCATAAATATGTATGTTGATAGAGATGATACACAGATTCTGTACCACTTTTGATTAATGATAGAAATGAAAAGGAGATGAAATCTGTAGAGTAACCTGTTTAATATCGATCTCCATTAGTCAAAATATTCTCATAAAAAGGGATTGTTTGACTAATAATTTGCTATCCCAAGGATTCTGATCCTAACTATAGCTGACTTTATCAGTGCAGTGCGGGCCTGCTGCACTTTTAAGGACTGGGTTAAAAAATCCCTGGTCCTGCAGACTTCTCGCCAGATTCACTTGGAAATCCAGGGGCTTTGCTGGGCAATTGAAATACAAGTATACAAAAGTAACTTAGCAATGTCCTTGTCTTCTTTTTAAGATGGTATATCTATTGAGTATGAAAATTTTAAAAGCTCATAAAGGATTAAAAGCTCTTGCAATTCACCAAAGTCTATTTTTAGGTTCATACTTGGATCTCCTGAATGGGTCAGTGCTTCTTAAACTTGGCATGCAATTATTTGAATCAATTTTCAGATTCCCAGTTTGCCACCTTTATTTTATTTTGAGCTGGTGATGCCTTGCTTAGACTTCCGTTAGACAGTTCTAATATAATAAAGGGCTTAGTCTGTCTTTCTGTCTGTCCGTAACACTCTTGGAGCACTCTGATTGGTTATTGAAACAACCAATCAGAGTGCTCCAAGAGCATTACAGACAGGAGGTGTCAGAGCGGTGGAGCACTGCCATGATGGCATGGACAGAGGGGACAGAGCTGGGGGGCAAGGCCGCCAGCACTGGCCTTGCCCCCCTGCTCTGTTCCCCTCCGTCCCCATTGTCATGGTGGTTCTCCACCGCCTCATGTGGGGGGGTAGGTCAGCAGCACTGGTCCCAGCCCTGCTCATTGGAGGTGGTGGAGCGCCGCTGATGGTGGGGATGGAACTGGGGGGGAGTTGAGGCCAGGGATCCTGCTCCTTGGAGGTGGTGGCGTGGGGTGCTGGTGGGGTGCTGGTATAGGTGGATAGAGGGGATAGCAGGGAAAGCTTCCCACCCCACCACACACCCCTGCTCCTGGGAGGCGGTGGCGGCGTACCAGGGGGGTTAGGGTTAGCAAGCGTCTTCCCCCTGTCTTCTCTCCCTGCCTGCTCCCCACCCCCTATCGTTTTTGATGGGCAATTTGCTAGTTTATATATAAACAAACATTTATGTATAAACAAACATTTAGATCTCTATTTGGCTTGCTACTCTGGAAGTCTTTAGTGTTGTTCAGGCAAAATTCTCCATGAAAATGGTGGAGATCATTAACCAGTTTTTACTTAGTCCCTAATCAGACTCCCCATGGGAATGGTGTGTGAGCTGGTGACTTTTTTTAGTGGTTTGCTTGAATAAAATACAAATAATGACCTCAGAACTTAATGGTTACCTGACTTACTCCCATGATACACCCTGAATTGCCCTAGAATGTGAGTGTTTTACAATTATGCCTGGATCTTATCCTTATAACAACCCTGTGAGGAAGGAGAGTATTTAGCTGCATGCTACTGATGTGGAACTGGAGCACTGGGTAATATAGGTGACCTATCCTCATGCGGAGTCTGTGGCAAATTCAGAAATTAAATCCTCGTCTCCTGAGACTGGGTCCAGTCCCCTCTCCACTATCCATGTCTCTTAGAGTCATTGTCAATGCATATAGCATAATTGTTTTTGCATAATGACATGTTTAAGCACAAATAAGAAAGCCCTTCACTTGCTTAGGAGAAACCAAAAGTCTGGTTTCAACTTTTCAGAAACACCTCACTTGGCATCTGCTTGACTCCTTTACTTACGCAGCACATTTACCTTGAACCCTGCAAGTAATCTGCCAGAGAAGACTGAGAGGGGGATTTGATAATGCTCTTTGAATATCTGAAGGGAAAATATAAAAAGGAATGGAGATAGGCTATTCTCTATGACTGAAGGGGGAGCAGAGGAAACTGCAGCAGAGGGAATTTAGGTTGGAGGCTAGAAAGAACTTTCTTACTGTGAGGGTGGTTAAGGATTGGAACAGGCTACCTAGAGATGTTGTAGAATCTCCCTCCCTGGAAACTTTTGAGAGCAGGTTGGGCAGCCCTACAGATGCCTATACATGTGCTCAGAGGTGGGGAGGGTCTGTTTGAATTAGAGAGATTCCCTAACAGCTGCTCTAATTAAAACCACTTCCATCATGTATATTAAGCCCCCCCTGCACTTTTAAATGGCAGCAGGTGTGTTTTAGCTAAAGCTTATTGAATGAGCATGACAATGAGGCGATTCTGAAGTGTTCTAATCAGAACGTGGAACAGACTCAGTTAATCGGGTCTGCTTCAACATGTTCTAATTAGAATGTAAACCAGCATGTCTACACACAGCCTACTTATCTATGATCCCATATCACATCCTGAGAGGCGGCAGAGTTTTTCTGTCTGCATTTGAGTGTAGGACCAGTGTTGGACAACATTAGATTTTGTCTATGTTTTGGTTCTAGTCACAACATTTGAGTTTCCTGAGAACTTCGGGAGCTACTTGGACCAGCAAATGATTGGACCAACCACTGAGATCCTGGTCAAATCAGACTTTCCGCTGCAAGCATTTAAGCCAAAGGTGCAAATCCCTTTCCAGGGGCTTCCAGGCCAGTGCCCTCGGAAGATTGAGATAGAAAGGTAATTGTCAAGAAGATGGATACTTGGTAACTCTTGTGTGTAAAAAAACTTTGCAATGGCCACAGACAAACTGGGTGCTGAATTTATTTTGAAGATTTTAAGGTGCTATCTGAAGAACATTTAACATAACACTGTCTTTAAAGGGGCTAGCCTCACCGCTTTCCACTTACACATCACTGTTGACTCAGGCAACATAATGAGAAACATGTATCAACAGAATGATAGTCCTCTGTAGAGATTAGCCGTGGGAAAGATCTTAGGTTAGCCAGCTTTTGCTTCATTGAGGGGATAGGAAGTGCCGTAGGGGACTCAGCACTTTCCTAATTCAGCTCCCAGGTCTGTCAGTAGAAGCAGAGTAGCCCAGCACTGAGCACTTCAGATAATTTTGCTCTATGTTGTCCAGTCAAGTTTTAAAATTCCCATTAATGTGTTCTCTCTTTTGGGGAGTGTCCACTTGTTTCTGCATTGCTGCCATACTGAATTAGTTATTAGCCTGAGCATCATTCCCTGTAGCAGCCACAGGAAGAAAATTGAAGCAATAATTAAAAATCCCTATCACTAAATTAGGCAATAACCTTGCCATCTCATTAACTTGCAACTAGGAGAAGACGGCTGTATCTCAAACTTGATATTGCTCAGCTCTTAGCCAACGAGGGAATAGATTCCAATCAACTGATGCCCAGGCACCAAGACCCTGACAGTTTGCCAACCATTGAACAGAAGCAAGATCCTGTTTTTCCCATCTACCTCCCCCTGAAGGTAAGGAGCAGCCTCAAAGCTGTCTGTCATCTGCATTACTACTGACAGTGCAGGGATTTCCTGAAAGTAGCAGGGCACACAACAATTTTGAATATAGAAAGGGACAGAGATGAACACGTGGATGTTTTAAAGTAGAAGCCATGGTGACTGTAAGGATTTAATTCTGCAAGATTCTGAGACACTTTTTGGAAATTAAAAAGTGCCTACAACTCTTAGAATCTTTGGCACTTGGAGATGGTCTGTACCTCATAAGATTGGGTCTAAAGGTGGTTCATTAGGGTTTTTACATGCCATTTTTCCACAAGTTCCCATGCCCCTCTAAATGCAACTGTTAACAGCATCATTTGCATAGGATATCTCCAGCTAAAAAATTTCTCCCCAAACTCTGCTGCATAGAAGAGAGGGAGGAGTCCAGGTACTGCTATTGGAAACAAATCTACTTTACACAACATTCAGGGACTAAGTTTCTTTTCCTTTCTTACAGTTCTATATTCTGTTGTTTTCTTCTTCCCCATGTTCATTTTCATTGCTTACTGTGTCTTACCTGTCTAGATATTTGATGATGAAGAGTACGACTGTCGGACTCCGGAAGAGTGGATCTCACTGGGGTTGGAGCTAGGATCTCAAGACAGGAACCCAATTCCTGGAAAAGCACTTTTGCCTACAGATGATATACTGGGACATGGTAACACTTGAATGAACTATAGTTCACATACCCTACACAGTGATGTTGAGCTAATATTGGTCATAAGATTGTCATGTGAAATGGAACATTTCATTCAGATGAATGATGCAATACTAATGAATGGAATGAGGTGTTTGAATCTGCATGACCACATGGGTGGCATTTTCTAGTTGGCAAAGCAGGAAATAAGGTATCATGAGAGCTGAGCTCTGCTTACAAACCTGTTACACCTTCACTGCACCTGTTTCTTAGGGGTAGCCTCTGATTTTGCACTCACATTTCTGAGCTGAAAATAAACTTAGGCAAATTTTGCAGGGCTTAGATCTTTAACTCCATAATTGGACATGCAGATCAAGTGCTTTGTTGGCTAAATACAATACAATGTGTCTACAATTATTTCTGATTCCAAAATTGAAGGCCAGGCTGACAATTTTCCAAATCCCAGAGCAACTGTGTTATCTAGTATAAATGAGAAAATAGGAATAGGCAAAAATAAGTGGTCACCCAAAGGTTTCTGAATGGACAGAATGCATGGAGGAAACAACTGAATCTGTGGGCATGCAGTGTCCATCTGTGACTGCATTCTGTCTCTTGCTAGGGGCTGAGCACAAGTGAGCTTGGCCAAAGGGGACATATAAGGTAGTAAGGGGGACTGCAATCTCATTATTCTGACCAGGACACCTCTCCTGCCACAACATCTTGGGTGAACTCACTTAAGCCTTTTTTAATGATCATCTCTCCTTCCAGAGGATCCCAAAAGTCATCAGTTGATCTACGATTGGGTCAGTGTCGGAGTCCTGGATTATGACAAGGAGACAAAGTTCTACTTGGTACATAAGACAGATGAGAGGGGCCTGGTGCGGAATGAAGAAGGGAGGCCTATCCTTAATGGAGGAGTGACTCCAACAGGTGTGTTCTGCTAAGGTTGAACACACCGTTCAATCCTTGGTTGCCTTCTCTTTCCCCACAATGGTTCTATGTTATGGTGATGAAGCCCTTTTCCTTCCCTGCCATTGAGGAGGGCTGCCCATTGTTCTTTCTGGGACCAAAGCTATTTTGAGGGAATTGTGGGTAATACTGTGAAGTACCAACTGTTCACAGGGATTCCACAAAAATCTACAATTTTCTGCCACCCAGACTGGAACTCTAGTCCTTTGTTTGACAGCCTCTTGCTCTGCAAGGACTCCTCAGTCTGTCCCCAACTGTAGAGTTGTTCTTGGGCCTACAGTAAACATAAGAGGATTACTGAATTCATTGTGGTCTCTTACATAAAGGGCCCCAGAATCACAGGAGTTGCTGTTTCCAGGCTGTCCCAGGGAATTTTATTCTTGTCTTCACTTCCGTTTCCCCAGGGAGAGCCCTGCTGATGCCATGTCAATACTGGGTGCCACGAGTCCATCTGCTCTTTCTTGCTGAAGACCCCCGTGTGTTTGTTCAACGAGTGGTCTCTGCTAATAACCTGCGCAAGAAAACGCAGGCACTGCTGCGGTATAACTTGTATGTGGACTGCATGCCTGTGGATGGACTCAGAAGCATTGAAGACAAAAGTCTAGGGAGGATGAAACAGTTAGCCATGAGCACACCACACCTGAGGAAGGAGAAATGGTGAGTAGCCAGTTGATTCTTCCCTGAAGGCTCAAACAGGCCCAAGAAGGACTCAGATTGTAACAGCCTTTAATATACTGTACTGTATCACCGCATACAGAACTTTTGGACACTCAGAGAGGCACCTGACATACTGGTTACACTTTAGAAATTACAGACATTAAAAACAGTTTCCAGAGTATAGATCAGTGATTCCTAAATTGGTGTACAGATTGCCAGTTGCCTGAGAGACTTTCCTGGTGGCCTGTTCTCTTTGTTTGCAGCTGCTAAAACAAAATAAAATCTGCTTAGCAAACTTGTTTATCAAATAGGAGAGGAAAGGATCCACCTGGTTACAAATGTGTGTGTCCCTGAGACAGTCTCTATATTGAGATGCAGTTCACACCAGGGAAAAAATTGTGAGTCCCTGGGCTAGATGAATCATCAGCCAGTGGTGATGTTTGTTAGAATGAACTGCGATGGCTTTTGCCACTTTCTGAGACATGGAGGCGTGAAGAGCTGTATGATCTACTGGCCTGAAGTGGGGAATAAGATTTGTTTAAGAATAAAAACCTCGGTAGAAAAAAGTATCGCGTGCCTAAAGTGAAAGATGATGCTCATGCATCAGAAATTTTAGACTTGCAGTAGTGTTAAAGTGATGTTGTAGCCATGGTGGTCCAGGAAATGCATGAGAGGCAAGAATTTCTGTGGGTGATATCTTCTGTTGGACCAACTTTTATGGTTGAGGGAGACTTAAACAAGTTTTTGAATTCAGTGCATTCTTCTCCAGGTCTGAGGGAAAAGAAGGCACAGCAAAATATTAAAAACAGTTTCAGGGCTTTGAAATTGGAGAAGAGAGGAATTCCCAGGAATAGCAGATAAGCAAATATTCAGAAGGGGCATTTGGGAAAGTGGCATATGTACCCCAAGTTTCCCAGCATTCATGCACAATTTTCATCAACCTTCTGTGTTCTCTCTCATCACCCTTTGCACATCTTATCTCCTTGCTGCCCTCCAGTTAACATGTTGTTTCCATGCCATAGTGATTTGTGTGCAGAAGCAGCAGTTCAGATATGGTGAATCTAGTTTCATCTCACTGCTATTAAGGTAGGAAGATTAGAAGGGTAAAGAAACTGCATAGCAACTGGAGAGGCAATCAGGCAACAGAAAAAGGAATGCTAGTTCCAGCTGCAAATCTGTATGCCCCCCTGACACCCACTACACACATCACCCCACCTGCATGCATGCACCATCCTTGTGACTTCATTGTCCTTGTCCTGGGGCCTCGTGTAGTTTTCCATCAGTAAACCTTAAACCTGCAGCATCACCAGCTGTTCCAGTCTGGGACCCCTGTACATCCTGTCTAATGTATTTCAGACACTTTTAATGAGCAAGCTATGTGTAACTGAACCCAGGAGAAATAAAGTGAGGATGGATCTTTGAGCACTGATGCAGACCTGCTATTCTGAAGAATCTCTGTTTAATTCTTTCTATGACCATAATCAGTGTGCTAAACCGTCTGCACTGCCTGGAAAAGGAAGTGAGCCTGGATTATGAACGCACCATGAACAAGATCATCTTCGACAGAGTTGTCACTTCTAAGCCTCAAATGTTTTCATATGTCACCCTGCCAGAAAAAGAGGAGGAAAAAGTGCCAGAGAAAGGTATAGGATACAGTGGAGAGAGTTGGGCTCTAGCTGGGTCATAAGAAAGATCTCATGGTGGGAATCTCTCAGGCATACATTGCTGTTTTGGTTGATAATATAAGAGAATACATGCTGCAGCCAGAATATTTTGAGTCTCTGCTTTGGGTTGCCCTGTTGAGCGTGGCATATTTGATTGTCTTTTCATTTTAATTAGAATTGAAAGCATTCTTGAAAACATAGTGCAGTATGGTTCATTACCCAGTAGTTTAGGGGACCTTCAGTATTTATAGAATCATGACCTAATCATATGCATTGCATGGGGGTCACTTTAAAGTCTGTGCATTGCCATTACAATTCCTGGAAAGTGCAGAAGGCAAAAATTGGCTTCAGCATGTCATGAAATCAATGCTGCTTTTGAGGGGATAGCTGTGCCTTGAGACCCCCTAAAAAGCAGCCTTACTTAGTCTCCCTCTCCTGAGAAGACCCTCTTCAAGCCAGACCTGACATGGCTGCACAGGGGGCAAGCCTCTGGCTTTGAGACCCTTGCTTTTCTCTATCCTTTGCTTTCTCAGTGATGCATTGCACCCCCACCTTAGATAACCACTTTCTTTTGGTCAGCTCCTAGGAAGAGGGTGTGTTTCCTTCTTCAAAGCCTCAGAGTGCTGACTTCCCAAATAGCACAGCAGACAGCTCAGCTCCAAACAAGCAGTCTTTATTGTGCCATTCCAGTTCCTTCTGTCCCTCCATGAACTCCACTTTGTTCTCCTTGGAATTTTCTTTGTCTTCCCTGGGACTACCATTTTTTCACCTCCAGCTGTCTCAGAGCCTCACCCATTCTCCTCAGGCCCCAGTCAGCCACACTTGCAATGAAACAGTTATAAAACTGTAGCACAGTATTACCCTGGGGACAGCACTAACCCAATACCCTGAAACAAGGTCATGGGCAACCAGTCATGGAGCAATCTAGAGGCCCTGCTGTCAGCCCAGACTGCCTTCTCCCTCTGGGGTGAAAAGGGCATATAGGGCTGCTTATGAAACTAGTTACAGCAAATCCAGCTCATGCTGAACACCCACAAAGTGTTCCCTGCTAGAACTCAGCCCACTTAACCTCTTTCATCACAGTGTGGCATTGCAAGGCCAAGGCCCTACATGGATGTTCCAACTTTGTCCTCATGTTCCAGCTAGTATGACTTTTAAAACAATGTTTGGGAGGAAGGAGGCCTTTCGTTTCATTCACTTGAAGAATCTTTATTTCTTCTTTGTGGTGGCTCTGTATCATCTCACTTGCGGAATATGCCACCCAGCCCTACTCCACTAGCACAATATGGCTTCGTTCACACGCTGTAAAGTGGTAATAGTCAAGGTCACAGGAAATCATATTTCCCCAACTTCCTTGTCTAGTTTTTTTTCTGGGACTCTACAGCAGGGGTTGGCATCATACGGCCGATGGACTAGATCTAGCCTGTGGAGCTGGAGGGCTTTGATTGTGTCTGTACCCATGCCAGGGCTGGGCAATGAGGAGTTGTGTTCTCATTGCTGCTACTTCTCCCTCTCCTCCCCTGCCTCTGCTCCCACAAAGCCACCCGGCTCATGTTGGACTGGAGCTGGGTTGGTCCAGCCCACAACTCATAAAGGGTTGCCAGCTCCTGCTCTGTAGGCTTGGAGAGCTTCATTTTGTTCTCAAAGAGGTCTTCCTTCTTTTATAAATAAAAAAATTCCTTTAATTTATTAATGTTAATGTAGATCCTTAGGTAATTAGTTACAAGCTATACCACAGTGAAGTGCAGATGCCAAAAACATGGAGAAAAAAGTCTGTGTAAGCATATTCCAAAAGTTGGAATGTATGCCCACTGACTGATGTCCCTCAGGGGTAGACATTCAATTAATGACTATTCAACCTGGCAAAATGTAATGCCTCTGACCAAAAAGAACAAGTCTGTCTTGATCCAAGTCTCTGCACAATGCAAGTTCTTTGAGCCAGACTCTGAGATCCTATTCTTGGGTCAGGGTCCTATTTTTGTGCAGTGACAGAGCAGGCATTTGTTAACTTTGAAGCTTTCTGATGTGGGCAGGTAGGCAGAAGGCTTCAGTGTTGGGGACAGCACTTTTGTTTTGCTTCATGTTGGCAGACTTCTCTTTGCTAGAACTGTACAAGATCAGACCATTGATCACTCAGTTGCTTGAAAGAACTACCATCCTAAAAAGGGATGTAATAGAAACACTCTCCCAATTAAAGGGATGTGCTTTCTTTCCCTGACAGGGCTTGTCCAAGTTCCAGACTATCCATTTAATGAGCAAAGAGCAGACTTCATCTTTGTCTCACTCCTGACCAGGCCAGAAGTCATCCATGCCTTGTCACAGGTGCGGGATGAGTGCAACAAAGCTGCAGCCATGTCTCTGTTTCATTCAACTTTATCTAAGCATGGCCGGCTAGAGGAGTTTGAACAGATCCAGACGCAGACCTTTACTCAGGTAAGGAGGATAATTAGTTAAATGGTGTTATATGGAACACTGGGCATCAAGCACAGAACAAACAGACCTGGTCAGACAGTCCTTAGCAACATGTGATTTACTAGAAATGGGCACAGATTTTATAAAGAATGTTAGGCAAATTTTGCATCATAAATGATCATTCAAGAGATCACAGTCTTTGCTTTTCTTCTAAAAGGAACATGGAACCAAAGTTTTGATTCCTCTAAAAATGTTGTATGTATGCAGCTACTGGCACTTTTAATAAGTTCCACTGACTGACTTCATATTTGTTTGACTTAATTACTTTTTCACATAATTTTGTGCAAAAGATTTGTTTATAAACAACAATGAATAGATTTAGATTTGCCATTTTCTTGTATTTTTCATCAGAGGATTCTCACACACTGCATACAGAGGCAGTACATATCAGAAGTTGAGGTGCAAAGGAGTTCCCTGACTTACTCAGGGTCACTCAAGCCATTGGCTTGCTGTATTTTTGTGGAGCCAGGTCTGATGACCCCAGGTTCTATGGCGTAACAACTACGAAATTAAGTCACCCATTGTGTTACTGGGATCTAATTTCCAACAGCAAATTGCAGAACAGTATAACAAAATTGACACTTGATAGCATTTTAATGACTGAAAATGCAGGCATCTGTTGCCCGTGGCTGCTTCCCATTGCCTTCTCAGTTGTTGACAGAAGACAAACTCGCATCCTTCACTCCTTTGCCATATATTACAGCTAACTTTTATGAGGACCTCTTTAAGAGGCAGCTTATGTGATACTGTTGTACAGAGAATAGGGATAGAAAGGAGAGGCTTAGATGAATGAGAAAAGAACAGCTTTATTTTTCTTAACAGACTTTTTTCATGGCCTTTCTGCTGTTAAACTAGACATGCTGCCCACATCCTGATGCCACATATATGATATGTATACATAAATATGAGGTTATTGGACAATAGAAATAGGATTTGAGTCACACAAGATCAATACCAGTAGGGTATAAAGAGTAGGTTCTAGTGGTTAACTGTGACTGCTGCTTTCCCATCAGTCCTCTGAGGATGGCACTTCTCTTTTTTTGCTCTAGGTTCAAATGTTTCTCAAGGACACTTGGATCAATACTCTAAAGATAGCAGTAAAGAGCTGCCTGAGAGAGATTGGTAAAGGCTGGTACAACCTGGCTCAGAGCAATTGGGGCGTGTACCAAATGTCCAAGCTACATAAATTGATGGAGCTCATCAAGTTCAACTTGCAAGACTCTGTACGCTACCTAGTTCAAAAGTCACTGGTCAGCTTCACCCAGCTTTTGCTGGATGCTAGCTGCAGTGTTCTGAACTGCTTGGAGGATATGGAATGGGGAGATGACCTCATCAATAGCCCATACAAGTAAGTAGCAGGAGGGAGGGAAGGGCAGACTCGGGGGAGAATAGTGGAGTAAGAAGAACAGATTTATCATTGTTTTTCTCATTATCATAGACTTCTGAATTGAAACTTTGCATTCGGTAGGAATTAAGTACATCTCTTGCAAGGAAGAACTATGTTTGTCCACCCTTTGACATGCCCCTGGTACTTCCCTTTTGCTAGGATCAAGTAGCAGAGAGCTGGGAAAATCTCAAGCTGCCCTGTCAAGGCAGCAGCTTTAAACCTGTACTAAGTGGCATAAAGCAACTCTATTGAAACGAAGAGTTGGCTTCTTATGTTCAGTGCACTTTAAAAGCACCACCAGGGGAATTCTCCCAACACTGCCAAGAGAGGAAATTACCAGCAAACTCAATTTAGAGCCTGAGAAAGGGAGAAGCATAAGGCCACACAGCTGGACATTTTCACTGTTGGAATTAGAACTGAAGGGTTAGGAGTGGGATGCTAGTTTTATTGCTTCTCTAAAAGATCCTGAATTTAGGCTGCTGAGATGTTGTGTATTATTTTTTCCAATGAATGTGGAGATTTTTGTTTTGGACAGTATTAAGAATTAAAAAAAAAAGAATATAATGAAAGCAGGAAAAAAAGATGCTATTCAAATGAGGCCTATCCAAAATCATTGGAAGCTAGGCTGTTGATTTTGGTGAGTTTTGGATGAGGCCCATAGTGAACAAGATCAGCGGATCAGTATCCAAATGGAAAGTGGTGTATTCTAACAGATGTGTGTCATTTCTATGAGTTCCTGTGCATTTTGTTAATAGCATAGCGTTGACTCTCAATCTGGAGTTTAGGTTTCTAAAGGGGGTAGTGAAAAGTTCAAGTATGTTGTGGCCACCCTTCTTTTCCTTCTGGTCAGATGAGAAGAAGGTTCTTTAAGTCACAACATGCCATAGTGCTGATCTGCAACCAAAAGAGTGTTGTTCCAAGGCATGCCTTCTCCACTCTGGCCTCTGTGTCTGTGCAGTGGGTGTTCAATAAACAGCCTGATAGCTGTCTCATTCTTTTTAAAAACAGATACTTTGTTCTCCCTCCTTTCCCTTTGCAGGCCACGAAAGAATCCTCTTTTTGTAGTGGATCTGATTCTGGACAGTAGCGGGGTTCACTTTAGCACACCGCTGGAGGTCTTTGAGACATCTATTGTTTCTCTGTTTGACAAAGGGATCTTGGCAACCCACACCATACCACAGCTGGAGAAGGTACATTATTAAGGAAGATGGTAGTTTGTCTGAGACTAAGTGATGTAGAGCCCCAGAATTGCAGCTGTTATGAGTAGAATAACAAAGGGAAACAGCACATCAACTAAGGTCCTCAGCACCCATTGTGGATGGGCCATTTGAAGTTCACACATTTCTCCTCTTTTGTGGAGTAAATCTGTCTTCCAAGATCCTCCCATCTTTCTGTTGGGAATGGTTCTGAGCAAATTAATTCTTTGTACAATGCAGGAGTATGGACTATGAGACGTTAGAGGTGCCTTCCATCACCCTAGGTACTACACAGTGAGGAATGAGTTCCTCACCTTTTAAAACCTCCTCCCATACAGGAGAACCAGAAGCAGCATGGTTAGTCCTACTAGATCTGAATGACTTCTCCCTTTGTGCTCTTCTAGTTTGTGCTAGAGAACATGTTCATCAGAGGCATGCCTCTGTTGGAGTCAGTGGGCCTGCATGAGCCAGCTGTGGAAGAACTGCGCAAGACTATTCAGTTTGCCATTCGCAAGGCATTGATCCCCCTTCAAGCCTATGCCAGGCAGTACGAGAAGCACCTGGAGCTGAATAATAATGACATGCAGTCCTTTCTGAAGTAAGTAACATCAAAGGGGAGTGAAGGGGCCAGACTTGAATGACATGTTCTTTCAGAAACTTATTCTATAAGACTTGTCCACCTTACATATACTAGGGTTACCATACGTCTGAGTTTTCCTGGACATGTCCTCTTTTTGGGTCCTTCAGTCTCCATCCAGAGGTTTTTTTGAAATCTGAACAAATATCCAGGATTTTGCTTTGCTCCACTGGTGGGAGTGGGGTGAGGGCAGTTGGAGGCGGGGGCTCCACATGCATGTCACACATATATGGCCTGCATGTAGCCAGACAGGGTGGTGGGGGAAGCAGGTAAGCCTGTGGGAAGTGAAGGTTAGAAGGCCAGGGCTTGGGGGCTGTCTGGGGTGTGCAGGTGCCTGCTGTCACTGGGGGAAGCTGGCCGGGCGCTGGAGCTGTGGTAGAGTAGGGGCCGGCCACCTGCCCCTCCAGAGTGGGAAGAGGACAGAGGGGACCCTTTGAGGGCAGCAGGGAGCTCTGTGGCCAGGCTGGTGGCACTGGGGCTGGTGCTCACGCTCACAGAGGTGATGCGGCTGGGAGACACTGCCTGGGTGGGGAAGGGGGCTATGGCCAGGTTATCTGGTGTGGTGCTAGAGCCCCAGGCCAGGGTGGGGCGTGCTATGGGCATCCTCTCCTCTTCCGTCCAGCCTGCACTGGTGCTGGACTTGCTCTGCCATTGCCCACACAAATTGGAGTCACCATGCTCTGGCCTGGTTGGGATGGGGGCAGCTGGGGGTCCCCCCAGGCAGGGCTTGGGGGAGCAGGGGGCTGCAGGTCAGGAGTTAGGGGCTCAGGTAGGGCTGTGGGGGCTGTGGCTTGGGAGTGAGGGGCACCGGGGGTGGGGGGTGGAGGGCTGCAGGTCAGGAGTGAGGGGCACCAGTAGGGTGGGTCAGAAGTGAGGGGCATTGGAAGGGCAAGGGAGCTGTAGGTTAGGAGTGAGGTGTCCCCCACAACAGGTGTCCTCTCTTTTGGAACTGGAAATATGGTAACCCTACACCTAAGGCTGTCCCTATGGGAGAGTGAATTGGTGTAACTGCCCCCTGCCACATCCCCTGCTGCCACTGCTGCCATGTCCAGGCCCTGCACAGGCTGATTTGCCCCAGGCCCCACACCCTGCTGTGGTTGTCTCTGCCTACACCTTTGCATAAATGTGTGGCGATGTAAATGCCTTTACTTTTGGGGTTCTCCCAAAGCGTGAAACACCTTAATTTTGGGTGTGTAGGATTTGCCAAATGAGCACTGGGTCTATTTAATCTAGTCTCCAGGAGTGATCACTGACAGTACTTTCCGAGGAAGACAGAAGGGCCATGCTACATGTTGATGGTGGCAGTGAACATTTCTTTCTGTCCTTGACAACAATCAGATTCATTCATGTTTGTAAGCAGAACTGGAGATATCACTAGCCATAAAATTAAACATGCCTTTTGAAAATCCAGTTAGTGCCTTTGACTTTGACCTCCCGTGGTGGTGCCTTTTCATGCTGTTAACATGAAAGCAGCATTTCTTTTTGTCTCAGCCTCCTTGTTTCTACTGTCAAATCCCCGCTTCATACATAAGTGTCACCCTTTATCCTTGATTACTTTAACATTCTCCTTTCCAGGCGTCCTGTCTTCTCCAATCAATCCAAAACACTGTTGCTGTCTTTTTCATGTCGGACTCCAACCACATCACTTCATGTATACCTCTAGTAGCTCCTTCAGAACAAATTCATGTTCTTTGTCCTGCCCCTCCAGGCACTGCATAACTTCAATTACATCTCTGCATTCCCTTGTCCCCCCAAATCTCCTGTCTTACTGTCTCCCTTGTCACTTTTCTACACTTCTGGTTTAAATGTCATGTTGCTACCTCGCCTGGAGTTCTCTCACTTCTTCTTCCACCAAACTTGCCATATGTTAAACGGAGCTTCAAAGCCCACTACTATCAGGAATCCATCTTCTTCCCCAGAAATCTCTCCTCATTCCTCCTTTCTCATGCTGTTATTTCAGGTCTTGACCTTACGTTCAGCCAATAAAGAAGGTGCAAGTAGGCATATACTTGCTAAACTGGGTAAGCATAGTAAGGATGTGGCATCACCGACTTTACTATGGGTTAGTGAACCAAGTGCATACACAGGTTGCTAGCAGCACTGCACTGAAGTCCCATGTCGTCCTATTTTACTTTGCTATTGTTGGCTATCCTAGTTAGTTTAGAGCAAACTCAGAACTATGTTGCCACCATAAAACTACACTTTCATCTGCTGCATAGATTGTAAGCTTTTGATGGCAGGAAATGCATAACATTTCAAAACCATAAAATGAGACACAATTTTAGGGGACAGTCCTATGTTTTCCAATAATAATAATTTAATCTATCATTAATTTATCTCCTGACCTTTTAGATTGCTGTGTGTTGACATCTCCACAAGCATCTATGTATGGTTCAGAAAGGTGTACATTCTCACAGTGTCTATGTATGGGTTGATTTATCTTTGTATTTCTATGTGTAGAGAGTATCAAGTCCACTGTCCCTCTGCCCAGGAAGTGAGACAAATAGTAAACATGCACTTGTCTGAAAAGGAGAAGCTGGACAACGCTCTGCCAAGCTGTATTGTCATTGGTCCTTTCCATGTCAGCATTGAAGGTGTAAAGCAAAATCTGTCCAAAAAACGCAAAGCCTTAGCCACCTCCATGCTGGACATACTGGCTAAGAACCTACGCCTGCAAGTGGACAGTGTAAGTGTCCTAGTAAATCATGCATGTAACACCCTAGAAAAAGAGAGACATTTGCAGCCACTGAAGAGAATTTGAGATTTCACCCTAGCGACCACCCAAGGAAGGACATTTTTCAACTCTCACTGGCATGATTATGTAAAAAAGTGTGTGTGGAGTTAGTCAAATCAGAGTGTGTATGTATCAAACGTTATGCCTGAAAACTATGCCTTTTGGAATGGAAATCTCAATGGCTCTGTACCATCTCCTAGCTGTGGTTTAAAAACTCTCTGCTTACTTGTTAACTGTGAATTTCTTCTGGTTGAATATGAGGAAGATAGACTACAAGATACAGACAATTAAATCTGTGATCTAGTTACTGAGTTCTGTTATCATCCTTCTAATCAAATGTTAAGAAAGCTGCTTCTCCTCATTTTGCATTCTTTTTCCATCTGACCTGAGGTAAGGCATGTAATGAAGAGTCCTAACAAAAAATAGAACAGTACTGGAAACTATAATAGCATTAGAGCAGTCTCTAGGAATGGGGCAATGTTGGGTCATAGATGACTTTTTAAGTCAATTTCTAATAGGCCAGACCTCATTTTAGCATCCTGATTTTGAGACCTACCATATACTCTTTGTTTCCACTGATTCTAATGAAAGCTGTGTGAGCTGGCACTTTTTGAATCCCAGTCTTATGCCACTCTTTTAGCTCCTGGATGAAATATAGTGGGTCCTGTAGGAATATTAGCCCATTAGACAAGGTTGCAGACTTCAATTGTTCTTCTCACTTTCTGCACTTAGACATTTTTTGCATTCTCCCACAGATCTGTGAAGCATACAAAGCTATCAGCCGGAAAATGTATGAGAAACCCAACAGCATTGAGGAGCTGGCTGAGCTGCGGGAGTGGATGAAAGGAGTCCCTGGGCAGCTACATGTTCAGGAGGTAAGGCATACTTTTCTGATCAAAAGGGGCTGCTCAATGGAATGATATGTTTGAAACTTGGGAGTACAGGGGGTAGAGTCTGAAAAAGGGAATTGTTCCTCTTGGGTTGTTTTTTATCCAGCTCAGAATCCCTCCTTGGACAATAGCTTACTCCAGAAGCAGGTTCAGCTTCTTAAGCTCCCCGTTCTGATGGGTAGAACTGAGACCTGATCAGACTATCTGATTTCCTGGTTTGTTGCTCTGAAGATTTTGCCTATGATCTAGGCCAGTGGGTTTCAACCTTTTTTCATTTATGGACCCCTAAAACATTTTGAATGGAGGTGCGGACCCCTTTGAATTGTAAGCGTGGATATTCATATACTTTTGATTGATCACAGTCATCTTTTGTGAACACATAGTCTGTGAACCACCTGGGGTCCACGGACCACAGATTAAAAACCACTGCTCTAGGCTGATATAAACTTTGAAAATTTGTTGATGTCTATGAGGCTTATATTTTTAGTTGACATCTGAAATTTCACTCCCAATGTCATGTATGGAACTGGGAATTTGTGTTTGAAATCAGGATATCTATGTAAATTGGGCAGTCATAGATTTCATAGCCATTAGGGCTGGAAGGGACCTCGGAAGATCATCGAGTCCAGCCCCCTGCCCAAAGGGCAGGAAGTCAGCTGGGGTCATAGGATCCCAGCAAAATAAGCATCCAGTTTGCTCTTGAAGGTGTTCAATGTAGGCGCTTGAACCACCTCCGGCGGCAGGCTGTTCCAGACCTTGGAGGCTCGGACAGTAAAGAAATTCTTCCTTATGTCCAGCCTGAAACGGTCTTGTAGTAGTTTATGACCATTCGACCTAGTCGTCATCCCTTGGGGAGCTCTGGTGAACAAACGTTCCCCCAGATACTGGTGGTCACCCCTGATAAACTTACAGGTGGCCATCAGATCACCCCTGAGCCTGCGCTTTTCCAGGCTAAAGAGCCCCAGGGCTCTCAGCCTTTCATCGTAGGGTCTGCTTCCCTGACCTCTGATCATGCGCGTGGCTCTTCTCTGGACTCTCTCAAGCTTCTCCACATCCTTTTTGAATTGTGGAGCCCAAAACTGAACGCAGTACTCCAGCTGCGGCCTCACTAAGGCCGAGTACAGGGGGAGAATGACGTCCCGGGATTTGCTTGAGAAGCATCTATGGATGAAAGCCAGCGTTTTGGTCGCTTTACTAGCCGCAGCATCACACTGCAGGCTCATGTTCATCTTGTGGTCAATGATGACCCCCAAGTCTCTTTCTTCCATAGTGCTAGCCAACATAGC